CTCCACCCAAGTTACTAGCACAAGCCAGACAGCTATGCTAGGAGGAGGACTCCTGAATGTTACCTTCAGCTACTGAGACTCCATCAGAGAGTGACTAAACAGACCTCTGATCTGACCCAGTATTTGTTCTTAGGTTAGTTCTCAAGCCCAGATATCCCTCAACATTTCATCAAAGCACACATCACAACTCCAGTACATATAAAAAGCCACCCTTACTGAGCAAACCTCCCAAATCTTACACTTCAAGAAAGAACATCTATCACATCTTCACTTATCAGGAGTAGGGCCTGAATTCAGACTTTGCACAGCCATGACACACCCTGTTATTTACAGTCTAGAAGGCCCTAAACTACTAAAAAAAAATAATAAACAATAATCATGCAATAGGACAGTGAGAAATTTTTTTATATAAAACATTCTATCAATCAACCTGCCTCACTAGTACTCACTCTGCCTTTGTCTCCAGCATAACGGAAGACCCGCAGGCACAAGTGAGACAGCTTTTACTCGCAGGCTCTGGGGTGTCATCAGTGTAACATTGTCAATTTCAGGCCATAAGCCTGTTCAGAACTGCTTATGAGTAAAAAGAAGTTACTCTAAAGCAAGCTGCTTGTGACCTAAACTGACTGGTGAAGTTAACTCCCTCAGATCATGGAGTACGAAGTAACTTGAATGCATCCAGGCTTAAGCACAATTTTTCTAATATCAACCAGTTATGACTGCAGAATTCCTTACAATGTTATTCCAAACAAGTGGTAGAATATACATCCACATACCCACTCTGAAAAAATTACTTATTCTTTGCACTTCCAAGTATTAACATGTACATGCACCAGTGATGAGACAGGAATAATGAAGGTGTACCTAGACAGTTATCAACACTTGACAGATTACCTGTCTGGTCGTATGTCCCATGTCTTAAGTGCAATTTAAAAATCGCTATTACAGTACTTTGTAATGTCAGAGGAAGAACCTCAATTTAACTTTATAATTCCAGATAAAAGCGCTTTCCCTTGAAAATGAAGTGATGCATCACACATTTCAAACTGGGTATTCTATAATCACAGAGCTTTTTGTTACTGTTAAAACTGCAATTTAGTTTCTGAGGCAGAAAAATACAGTAGTACAAGGAATACATTAATAAAGGTTTTAAAAATTAGGCTAAGAAAAATCATTGTAGCTAGAATTTCAGTACAGGAAAATACAGGACAGGACTCAGAAAACATTTATTAGATAAGTCTAAACATATACATTTTAAGGTACTTTTTTAATTGCATGGATATTATACTCAACTAGTCATCCACAGTTTGGACGGGATCTTATTCCCAAATTCCGTATTTATTTTGCTCTCATTCCACTGCATCTGAGTTAACAGCAACAAAAACCTGTACAGAGCTGCCAGGAAAATCTTACAGTGAAACATATGGCATTAAATTATCAGTAACACCATTATATTTGTCAACAGAAGACAAATATTGCTCTTCTCCCCCCTCTTCCCCATACTAGACAGGTAAACAGCCTTTTTTCTTTTGTCAATCAAATTTCTAGGTTCACCTAACTCCCACAAGCTCAGCAGATGACAAGTTACACCAGCCAGAATGCACTTTCATTTAACCAAAATACTTACTTTTGCATAATACTTACGTGTCTTGAATGCAGACCCTAAAGCAAAATTCACAGAAAAATGGGAGGCTTTGCATGCAATTCTCCACCAATTTTGGTAAAGATCAATAAACTACATTGGGTTTAGCTGTATTAAGACTTCAAGACTGCATCCTCATTTGCAGGTATCACATTTTAGTCATTTATACAAAGCTAAGAAAACACACAGCTCTAAGACTTGGGTTCAAGCTTTTGAAAGCTGCATTACTTTGCTTTTTATGCTGAAATACAACAAAAAAAACCTCATTAACTTTACTTATCAGCCAGGTGGAAATGTTTATGGATACTTGTGTCATTAATGGCAGGCCTATGCACATGTTTCAAGGGGAAACATTCCTGTATCGAGTAATTTTTGCACACACGGGAAATACTTTTTACTCCTTTAAATACTTAATAGGAACACATTATGCCACAAAGATACTACTGTCCATAATCCACTAGCAAACAGCAAGATGTGCACTTGTTAAGAATATTCCGTATATTCTCTTCTACTAACAAGAAACCTGTAACACCTTTGTCCTGCTATTTCCCAACCTACTGTATAGGGCATGGGTACAGGCGTACCATTTCAGTTGAAAAATCAGAAACACTCGTATTCAAAGAGCTGGAAAACAATCTAGGCTAGACAACAAAACCTAACACAAAGCTGGCATTTCTAAGTTGGACTGTAGCAAACAAAAGTTCTTGTCAACAAAACTACAGCCAACAGCATTACTGTATATCTTCACTTATGCATTCCAGAAGACAGACATAGGATTAAGCTAGCCTGTACACAGAGTAAGCTCCCTTCCTGGCACCTTGAGTTGATTCAAAGCAGAAGTAGTATAGACACAGGTAGAGGCAGCATGAGAACTCTGAGATCTTTAATGCTTCCACTGCTTCTGCTTGTGATGTACAACATCTATTTTCTGGATAAAGAGAGAAGCCCCCAGAGTCTGAATCCAGTACCTTTCATAAGCTCTAACTTCATTTTTAAAAATGATAAAAGAAAATGTAATTTGCTCTCCAGCTTTACCAGTAATCCATACGTGTTCATATTGCAGACTGCAAAAATATCTGTGAGATCAATAACAAACATCCTACTTGTCGTTCATTCTTCTGCTTTATGTAAAGAAAACATTCCTCAACATACACCCACTCTACACTTCTGCAGTTTGAATGATGGACTAACACAAACAAAAACCCACATTGCAAATGGCAAAATGCATGTCCTTCACCAACAGGCAGGACACCTTTGGAAATGAAAACCAAGTTCTACATTTCTGAACAATAAATATATATATATATATATATATAAGTTACAGTAAGACAGCAACCAGACTGAAAAGTCTCAGATAGCAGGGAGTATCACATTCACATTGGCCGGTGTGTCTCCTCGATGCTTTTCCTCGTCAAGAGGCCCACCTCCACAGGTTCCTCATTCCAGGTACGGGTTACTCAGTCAATCCCATTTAGTAGTAAGATTTGATTTTTCCTCCTGTATCTGTCTGCTTCCACTGAGTCATTTGGGCACACTCTACTCCACATCTTGGCTCCTGTGTACTTTAAATTGCCTTCAAGCTTCACAGAGTTGGAAGCTTTGCACTTCCTCTTCATACCTGTTTCCCACCTAGGTGTAACTGGGGAAAAAACAACATCATGGACAAGTAATCATTCCACTTATACCTTTAATAGAAAAGCTCATTACAGACATTACTTACAGGAAATTAGGAAATCCCAGCTGACCACATGCAAGCTTGAACATATTTACTTATTAGGGCAGTTACTTCTATCACAAAGACAGCAAGAAGCACCATCCCTATTGCTGCAAAAAAAGCAGTTACTCCCTAAATGTGAAATCCTTAACCCAAATAGTGGAAACCCGAACCAGGAAGCACTAGAACCTCCCAAGAAGATGGCTGCAAATGCTCAACCATCACTAATCCTCTTTCTCAGCAGCACCTAGTTTGCCAAAAGCTTTGGGGGTCTGCTTTTTCTTAATTTCAACCTCGAGCACACACCTTTTTTTTTGGCATTTGTCACTTAATAAATAAAATTATTCTAAATGCCACTGCACTTCTTGCTGCTCCCCATCATACATGCTGATTTACTGTGCTAGCACTCGAAATGGTAAAGAATAACTTGTAAAACACTGCAAACGTAAAAACTCTTAATTTCAAAACACTGAAGGACAATATATGTATTTCTGTATAACGTTAAGTACTTCTGTTCCTAGAAACACAGCACTTCCATTTCATAGCCTGATACGATTAACAGCTAGACTTTATGTACTTTCAAGCTACAACTAATTCATGCATTTTCAAAGAAATGCCTGTAGCTACCTTTTCCCTACGCTTTTTACCCGATTCTTTTGGTCATTATGTTCTCTACACGTTTTGCTGCTATTGCTCTCGTTCACCTTTCCGCTTGCCATTATTAAATAGTTTCATTATCTCCCTCCTGCAGCCTCACACGTGAAGATCACAAAGCAGTGTAGAGTAAAACTCATTTGGGTGATTTTTATGAAGGCAGCCGCTTCACGTGGGTGATTTACTGCTCACATTACAACAGCAGAGCATCAGGCAAACCTCGGAACAAACCTCCCTGCCAAGCATCCCCGCCCGTATTTCGATCCCATCGAGCTGTGAAACGCAGCCGCGTTCTCACAGGGCTTTCTCACAACGTTAGGGCCATCCCGCTCGCTGCGGACCCGGCAAGCGACACCGAGCCCGAGGGCACACGGCCACACCTGCACGGCGGCCGTTGGAAATCAATCGTTGCCCACTCCGCGCCGCTACTGAGGCGCCCCTGCCCGCCCTCATCAGACGACCGCTACCCGCCACCTCTGCAAGAGGAGGGGGCAGGTGAGGAACAAGGTGCACCTCGAGCACAAGAACGCTAGCTCCCACAACCTGGGCCTGCCTTCCCCCAGCCTTGGCTGCGCTCCCGCAGAACAGACCGCTATAACGGAGCTGACCACGCCCCCGTCCACCCGGAGGGAGCCTAAACCCACCCCCACCGGCCAGGAACGGGCACCCCCGGCAAGCCCCGCCCCTTTGCCGCCGAGGTGGGCGTGTCCTAACGATGAGACCCCGCCCCCAGCGAGGGAGGGCGGAGGAGGGGAGTGAGATGTGAGCCTGAGGGCGCCATCACCCGCTTCAGGACGAATAGCAGAACGCCGAGTGAGTGAGCGAAGCTCTCTCGATGCTCTCGGTGCTCGCGCCGACCCCTGGTATCCCCATCGCCACTTCCGGCGGTGCGCCAGGCAGGCGTGCGGGACGGGAGCCGCGGTGGCGGCGGAGGGCAGCTGGGCGTTGCCGCCGTGCCCCTCCCTCCCCGCGTCTCCCCCCGCCTCCCCCTTCCCGTCAAACAGGTACGGGGGCGGGGCTGCGTTTCCCCGGCGCGCACTGGGACGAGGGGGGAGGAGGCGGGGTCGCGGTCGCTTCCTCGGGAGCGCCACCCGACAACCGGGGGCCATGGGTGCGACGGTGAGGAGCGCGGGGTGCTGGGGACCGGGCAGGAGCGGGATGTGGCTGGTGCTGAGTGGCGGGAGGAGTTTGGTCGGCCTGAGGAGGCGGTGTCCCGCGGCGCTGGGGCCTCTGAGCGGCGAGGCGTCCCTCTCGCAGTCGGGAGGAGCTAGGAATGGCGGCCTGTTGCAGCTGGGGAGCCTCTGTCCTGCCCCTGCCCGGGCAGCTGGCAGGTGCTCAGACAGAGCCACGTCTGTCCTGGCCTTGGGGTGTGGCGTGGGCCAGCCCTCAACAGTCCGCTGGCAGAGGGCTGCGCGCAGCCGAGTCAGCAGGAGGAAAGCGTCAGTGATCGTGTTGGTCCCCGTCTCCATTCCCTCTTGTCTGCGGGGCAGGAGGGAGGTACCACCAAGAAAGGGATCCCTTCGGGTTTCCCACAGACGTGCAGTTGCGTCCCTATAACCCGGAGCATCCCTGTTAGGGTGTCAGCTGCTGGCCTGCCACCAAGCGTTTGTGGTTTGCTCCAAAGGCAATTGGGCATGGCCAGGGCCAGCGTGGAACTTGCCTTGTGTAGCTCATGCAAGTGATTTTTCTGACAGTACTGAGATGCTAGTTTCTGCCAAACTCATATTTTTACAGATATTCAATAAAAAATCCCCCAGCTCTTTCACAGTGCTTTTTTCATGCTTGGCCCAAGTCATTATTTTTTTGTGGGGCTTTTGTAGCTACTTATTCATTTGCTTCTTTTTGATGTAGTGCTCTGTTTTACTTGCGTGCTAGGTTAAAATCTTGCTCTGCATGGGACTTTATTTCAAAGAGGGAGAAACTAAAAGTCTCTTATCTAAATACATTGTTTACACTTTTACACACGGGAAAAAAAGAGGAGGGGAATATGCTATTTTATACATCAGGACCGCTCTTAAGTCACTTGGCTCTTCAAAAAACAGGTTTTTTCTTTAAACTGAGAGTGGATACATTTAGGTTAGATATAAGGAAGGAGGTCTTTACTGTGAGGATGGTGAGGCACTGGAACAGGTTGCCCAGAGAAGTTTGTGGCTGCCACATCCCTGGCAGTGTTTTAAGACCAGGCTGGACAGGGTTTTAAGCAACCTGGTCCAGTGGATGGTGTCACTGCCCATGGCAGTGAGTTTGGAACTAGATGACCTTTAAAGGCCCCTTTCAACCCAAACTGTTCTATGATTTTTGCTTCATGTTTCTTCAAAAGGTGAATCAGTTGCTTGAGGGATTTTGGTGAGAGGAGGATGAACAGCATTTGAGATACTTAGGAAAATAATAGTTTGAGAAGTCACACTAAACTTCAGGAGAGTTCTGTCATTGTTGGTAATGAAATTTCTTGTTGGAGAGTTTTCCAAATGGTTATTTACATTTACAATTTATTTAGTTGTTAAATAATGTTTTTTGAAATGTTTCTTGAACGTGATCAAAAAAGCCCCAAGTACTATGCATAATTTTCTTATGGATGGGCTGGGTGTTGTTTCTTACTACTTCAGGGGTAGAGTCAGTAATTGGTTAAAAGTAGTCAGTGTACAAGAAATTAAATGGACCGATTGTAAAAACTGGTGGTGTTCTGAGGAAATATTTTAAATACAAATAGTTGAAAATTGGAAAAATTATGTTGTGTAGGTTACTGCTGGTAGGCATCTAAGCACTATATAGTCTCTTGCTCACTTTCCCTCCCACCCCCAGAGTGGTGAGGAAAAATGAAGAGTAAAACTAAGAAAACTTATGGGTTGAGATAGAAATTGTTTAAGAAATGGGGGAAAAGTGGCAAAAGAGAGACTAAAACCAGCACTGGTGATGTAAAGGCAATCACTCCCACAGGTAGATCAATGCCCTATCAGTTCCTGAGCAAAATACGGCTAACCTCCCTAAACCCTCACCTCTCACATTTTATTGCTGAGTGTGATGCTTCATCACATGGAATATCTCTAGTTAGTTTGGGTCACCTATCTGATTATACCCTCTTCTCACACTTGTCCACACCCCAGACTATTCACTGAGTGGGGGACAGAGGGAGAAACAGAAAAGGCATTGATGCAGTGTATGCTCTACTCAGCAACAGCTAAAACTTTAGTGTGCTGTCATTGTCTTGATCACAGATCAAAAATGCAGCACTATACAAGCTGCTGTTAAGAAAATTAACTCTGTCCCATCCAGACCCAATAGATAAAATGCAGTTGTTACTGTTTCTTCTTCCTTCTGCTTCTTCTGATCCTAACACAGGTATTACACAAATAATATCAAAATTAGTGGCCAGAATGTGAAATGTAGGTACAATGCTATGCATTGTACAATTCACTCAGTTTTTGGGCTCTTGAAGCACACATGACAGTACTTGGCTGTGTCTGCTGCTGGGCATACATCATTTTCTGTGTTTCAAGTTGACTGCAAAATGAAGCTCAGATTACTTCTGTAGCTCTTGTTCCTGCTGAGAAAGTGTGGCATCAACAAATTTATGTAATTGCTTTCATAAACTTCACCTTAGAAACAGTTCAGTTATTTTTTCCTTCATTTTTAAGCTGCTCTAGAATACAGTCTAGGGATGAAAAAGTAGTTTCTAGTACTGTTAGCTAATGATCAGTTCATGCCTATTTGCTATCATTCTACTGTCCTTAAAATTAAAACTATCCTTCCCCCTTAGCAGTAACCCTTGTGATACTTTTATTGAAAGTAACTCTATTTTGTTTTCATCAGGGTTTTTTTGGCCAGCGAAGTTCCGTTTTCATTTCTGTTCATAAGGACAGTCTGTTCCTCCATCCTGATAATCTTTTTTGCAGTTGAGCTTTGAATCTGTCTTTGAGGGCTATCAGAACTCTGTATGAAATTGTACTTAAAGGCTCACTAGTGCCCCTCCCTGCAGGACACTGGTACTTTTCTGGTTTTACCGAAAAGAGTTTCCTTAAACATTATCCTTCTTTTTTCTTTTTTTTTTTCCTTTTTTTTTTTATGGCCACCTCACTTTGGGTTTACCTAACAATCCACAAGGGTAAACTCTCTTCCTCTTACTTTTGGTTTTCAGCTGAAGAGGTCTGAATTTAAACACAAATAATTATTATAGTCCCTAAACTCCTGTTACAGTCCCTAAGCTATTCTTTAAGAACTTTAATAGGAATCTTGTTCCTACCTGATAGTAGGTTATATAAAAAAATGAAACAAATACATTACAATTTTTATACTAATCCTTCATCTTTCAGCTAAATTCTTATATTGTAATAGTAAATTGTTATATTGTATAATAAATGACCAGTGTCCATGCAGATTATGTTTACTACATTTACTGCATTATCTAGTTTTTATATACTATACATTGTCCATTTAAAAATGGCAGGAAAAGCACTTTTTTATATATGTGTGATGAGAAGTATTTTTGAGCTGGGGAAAACAAACCACAGCAAACAAAATTTAATTACTGACTTCTTGCTGAGCTAAATGCTGACCTACACTTTAAAATCTTTGGACAACTGACTGACTAGTGTGTTTATCTGGAGGCTAAAAAGAAAAAAGGAAAAAGCAACCCTCAAACATCATACTCTCTGGTGAGCTGGAAAAAAGAATTATTTGCCTCAATGTAAACTCCTTATTCAGGTTTAGTCATCCAGTTTTGTTTTAAGTTACACATGGAAATGACTGCATCTGGTTAATATTAAAGGGACCATGCCAGAGACCTCATCAGATAACCTATCTTAATTTCTTAGACTTTCTTCTTAACCTTCTTGTTTCTGTCTTCATGTTCTGTTCCTCAGAACTGTGTGAGAAACTGAATAAATGTGAGAGTGAGGGGATAACTTCTTCCAGTTCAATGCTTGTAACCAGTCATAGCCTCAAATGTGTATTTTTCAGCAAGGCTTCCCATGTAGTGGACTAGTCAAGTATGTTCCACTGTGAAAATGAAGTAGACAGAACTACAGTGCTTCAGTATCAGTTCTTTCATTGTGATTTAATCATGGGGATCATTTCTTGCCGAGCAGTCACTCCTGTGCAAAAGGGCTAGTTTGAGCTGTTGTGAAACTGACACTGGTTTTCTGTTGCTAGTGTTTTGGGGGTAGTTGGTTTGTTTTGCATAGTGTAGGAATACCGCTTCCCACATGAATCAAAACTCCTTTTATCAAATGATATTAACTCATGTTAACTCTTAAACCTTTATAATTTCCATGTAAACGTCACATTTGTTTACTGTTACTGGTAGAAAGCTGTATGTTATGTCTTACCTGACTTCAGCATTTATTTCAGCCTTCAGACAGAGAACACACAGAAAAAGAAGAGCAAAAAGAAGATAACAATAGCACCGAATGCAGCAAACTAGGAATCATGGATCTAAAATTTACTTCTTCAAGAAAATACATTTCCATCAGTGTACCTTCCAAATCTCAAACTATGTCTCCTCATATCAAATCAGTAGATGATGTTGTAGTTCTTGGCATGAATCTCAGCAAGTTTAACAAACCTACTCAATTTTTCATCTGTGTTTCTGGAGTTTTTATGTTTTATCTAATCTATGGATATTTACAGGTAAATACTATGAACTTGTGTCCTAGGCCAATTCCTTCTACCCCTTTTCTTTTGCAGTAATATGTAGAATTATTATTTTTTTTAATATGTATAGACATATATATGAATCAGAATTTAATAGCAGTAAATAATTGTATAATGTAAGATTCCATTACAGTTCATAGGCCTACAAGTTTTGGTTCATTTGGACTTTCAGAACTTGATATTTTACTTCTGTGTGCAAGATAAACCTTGCAATATTGTTTGGATATGATTTCTTAGTCTTCTGAAAACAAACAAATTGTAGAACCCTATAGACTGACATGTTAAGTCTTCATTGGTATTGAAAACTTTAGATCTCCTTGAGTTCCCTGAGTGCTGTACAGTAGTAGACTATTGTTTTCTGTTCTCCTTTCAGGGAAGAACTGAAATATGGACTATGATGGTTAGGTAGGAGCATAATATTTATGCTGTTTCAGTTAAATATTTCTCTTCTGGCTAGCCTTTTCTCATTTATCTTGAGCAGCTGCAGTTCAAGATGAGTGACTATTCTAAGGAAAGCAGTGATTTAAAAGTTGATAATTAAAAATCACTATGTTTCCAATGTAGCTTTCAAAAAACAGCTAAGAATTTTGTTAAAATAAAGTTATTTCCAGAGAATTAAACAAAGTTAGTGGTAATTGAAAGCAGAATCTCAGAAAGAAAAAAAAACGGGTAGCATTTTGTTTCATAATTGACACATCTGCATAATTCTTTATGCAGTGCATGTATTTTTCCATAACAAGTTACTCTAGTTTTAAACATTCCTACATTCCTACAGCCTGCAAATTTATAAACTCATACATGCTGTTTAATGTAGGCACTCATAATACTAGGTGCGCATTCCTAAGAGATGAAAATTACCAGTAAAATGTCTGTTAGAGAAAGGTAGTATTTAATTTATTGTGAACTATTTATAAATTTTGGATAAAAGCAGTCTCCTGAAGCAAGTGAACTGAAAACAACTGAAAAGCAGTCAGGAAACCATCTATAATATGGGATAACTATTCATGGATCAAATGTATTCGCCTTGATGAACCAATCTGTTAATTTCAGTGGACTTACACCAGTAGTAAATTTTCTCATTGCATTTTGGAAAATCTAAATTGTCTTTTCAATACTTTGCAATTATGTATAGTAGGTAAATCTTACTGTTAATCACCAGCTGCAAAGACTAGCTTTGCATGTACATGAAATAAAAAATCTGTTGATTTTGGTTTGATTTAATATTTTGGTGCATGTACATGACCTTGCTGGGTTTTTGTTTTTATAGGAATTGATATTTTCAGTGGAAGGTTTTAAACCTTTTGGTTGGTACCTCACTTTAGTGCAATTTGGATTTTATTCCATTTTTGGACTAATAGAATTGCAGTTGATTCAGGACAAAAGGAGAAGGTATGTGTTTTTCCAAGTATTTTACCCACTGTTCATCATATTAGAAGCATTTGATATTTATGGTAAATTTAAATTGAATGTGAATACTGTGAGGCGTTCTTTGCACTTCTGTTGTTAAAGTAATGTGAATTTACTGGAACAATGTTAGGAAATGCTTTAGAAGCACCCACTTAGATTTGAGACCTGTAAATAGTCTTCTTGACTCTACTGTCACATTGTCCCACTTACAGAGCATATTCTGTCCTCAGGGTGGCTGAAACAGCCTGACTCATGCATGTGTTACTTGAGATTATCATGTCTAGAATAGGACCAACTGCACTTCACAGCACTTGAAGCCATCTGTCACTGAATACCTTTTCCTGAAACCTTGGTACCTGCTCACCAAGAGGTTCCTCTAACATGCTGAGTGTTTTGGAGAGTGTCAGAGGTCTGCTCTCTGTTTGCCATGTGTCTAAGTAGGTTAGCTTTAAAAGATGTGCTTAAGTTTTGTGTTTTTCATTTAAGATAGCACTTGCATTCTAAAAATGTCAATGATCATGTGAAAACTTCACAAAAAAATATTGTCACAGTGCTGTGACAGGACTAAGAGTCAGGGTATCTTGGTATACCAACCTTCTGTGTTTCCTTTGACAAATAAACTGAAGCCTTCATCTTGATTCTTCTGTAAATAATATACCTTCTCAGAAGGAAGTTAAATAATTACTACTTGAGCCATGAAGTTTTATTGTCTTGTATTTGAATGCTGTTTATTAGCAGTAATTGAAAGAAATGACATTTGATATCAGTCATTTATGTGCATTTTTAAATTTCTGTTGCAAAATGAAATTCATTGGGAAAGATGGTCAAGGTGTATTACATATTCGTTTATCTGTTTTCCAAGCTAAATTTTCTGTAGATGACTGTAATACCAAGATTCGTATGTTTATATTTTGTAGAATTCCTGGCAAAACCTACATGATAATAGCGTTTTTAACAGTGGGAACTATGGGTTTGTCAAATACCTCTTTAGGATATCTGAATTACCCTACTCAAGTCATCTTCAAGTGCTGTAAACTGATTCCAGTTATGATAGGTGGGGTTTTTATACAAGGTAAGTTAGTCTTGCTATTAGATTATTTTTTTGTTGTTTCTTTGGGAGGCAGTCATGCATGGAATCCTGTACTTTGTTAAATTCCCCTGAGGCTTTTGGAGAGGGGTAGATAGCATTCTTTCTTTAGGAGAAAACATACCTACTTCTGAAGTGTCTTCTCAGAAAATTTATAAACACAATTAGATGTGGGGGAAAAGAAGCTGTACAGGTCACTCACAAAACTTCATTGTTAAGTAATGTAACTTTGTTTTCTAAACAAAATCGCATCATAAACAAACCATTTTCAATAGTGAAATGGAAAACTTGGAATGGAAAAAAAATAAAATCTAGCTGTTTTGTGAAGAAATCCCCAACTCTTCTTGTTTGCATCCCAAATTCCTAATTAAAATTCCTAATTTTTGATTAAATGTTTAACCAGAAGTACATGACTTTACGTGTCTTTGGCTAGTCCCAAAGTCATAGCTCATACTCCAAGAACAGAAAAAGGGATCTGGAGAGGAACAGATAAAGTGTATCATGTGAATAAACATACTTCAGTAATTCTGCATTTAAAAGCCTTAAGTATATTATAAATATTTCTGTTTGTTCAATACACAAAGATTCATGAAGTCAGTAAAGCTCTGCATGGGTAAGTGACATGAAACAGATTAGGATACATATCTGTTGTTGAAGTTAATTTTGCCCTTCTATTTGCAATAGAAAGTTAAACTTTCAGAAGAGGTTACAAGTTTACATATGCATATGATGCATGCACAGTATTTACCTTTTATTAGGAGTTATTTGTATCATTTTAATGTAGAAAGACTGGTACTCCCTTAAAGCTTTGTGAATATATATTGTAGTAGCATTGTATTCTCTGTGATTAAAAAAAATACAATTATTATGTAAAAAATTTCAGTTAAAGTTTCAGAAGTTCAAAAAAAGTTCCCTTGGAAGCTTATATTGAAAGTACAGTTTCTGGGAGAGGAATATGTTACTTCAAACAAGATATACTAACTCCTGCCTTTTCATTTCTGTACTCCTTTTCCACTCCCATCCACATCCCATTTCTTCCAAATTAGAGACAATATAGAGTTCTAAAAGTACCCAAATAATCTGTTAGTGTTTGGCAGTGACTCCTCTCTAACCAGTAAAGGCAGCCAAAATGTCTTTCATGAAGGAAAAATCTTAAAACATCTAAGCTGATCCAAAGTTTCTGAGATTATGCTTTGTCAGGCAGGATGTGCCTTATGTCATTGAGAATATACTTTATGTCATTAGGGTTAAAACTAAAACTGACCACAAGAATCAGATGGTAATTTGCTAAGATGCTTTTCCGTGTTAAAAACTTCTGTTGTAGAAGAAACCAGTTTTGGTCATGAAAGGGCAGAGCATTAAGTCTTCTGCTTAAGTAAAAATGTTATTGGAACACTTAACTCCTTTGACTTTAGTCTGCAGAACAGGATAATCATGAAATTCTGAGAGTGGTAACAGTCATGTTGTTTGTATTGCTTTTGTAGGAAAACGTTATAACATTGCAGATGTGTCTGCTGCCCTATGTATGAGTCTTGGATTAATATGGTTTACTTTAGCTGACAGCACAGTTGCACCAAACTTCAACTTCACAGGTAAATATATATCATATTTTAGAGATTAACAAAATGCTTGTTTTTTTCCTACAATAAGTGTTCCATAGAAGTTCTAAGAGTTCTTCGTGGAGTGCCTTCAAGTATCATATGGAAAATGCAGGTTTTTTTGTAGCTCTACATTTGGCAGAACAGTATCAGTGCCAGAAAAGACTTGTTCCAAGTGGAGTTTTTTTGGTTCTTAAAACTTCTGGAAATTTCATCCTTTAGGTTGAAATGCCTCATGCTTATTCTCTGGGAAGCACTTACTTCCCAGTAGATATGTTTAAATAGCTGTGATAAAATTCAGTTTAACCATTTTAAAACACTGACTTTCTCACTCAGATTTGCTGTAGATCTTAGTTGGAGTGCCCGTGTTCTGACTTTTCTATGATGTATAAAATCAGAAGCAAAGAAAGGATTTTAACCTGGTTGGGTTAAAAAACTTAGTTGAATTTCTGTCTCAAATAGCAAGGGAGAATTGGTTATTCATTAAATCCATGTAATTTACTTGGTCAGTGTTTGGATTAATAACCAAATAGTCAACTTTCAGTGTATTCTCCTTTTGGAATTCTGAGACGAGTTACAACAACTGTTATGACAGGCGTTTAGTGTGAAACTATTTCTTAGTAATGGAGGCAGTGATTTAGAGGTTTTGTTCATAGCCATAATAAATTCTTGGTTTTGAGGAAAAAACTTCTGGTTCTCACAAAATTTTATTTCATCTAGTGTTAGTAATAATCAGTTTGTTGTGTTACCTGAACTGTATACATCTTTTGCCTTCCTCATAAATTAATTCTCATGCATTTTGTTGTAATTCTAGTGCTATTTGTAGTGGAAGAATTTACAAAGAAAAGTTAATTATGTAACCTGCTGTGCATTTAATGTGTTTGTGTGGTGTAACTGTATAGCTACTTTAAAAATATAAATATTTTGAGTACAGTATGACATTGATAAGCATGTAATTATAGTCTAGTGTTTCTGATGTATAGATACATGTTACCATTACAGTTATTTTTGACTACAGCCTGTAAGTGCATTCACTTTTTAATATATTCCTTTTGTGAAATTAGAATTGTTTCAAATATGTCTTATGACTTAATTCTGAAAAGATTTGGAAAGTAGATTCTTCAACTGAGTGGGACAAAGCACAGTGCAGCAAATGTAGTAAAGTCCTGATGCCCTCAAAGATCTGGAAAACGCAAGATAAAGAACTTCAGGTATCTTCAGAGAATAAACAGGGTTGTCTTTCATTATAAATTTATTTGAATACTTCAAACAAGTCTGTGTGTGTTGAAGCATAGATCACTACCCTGTGGAGGAAGTTAGTTCTGTGAAAGTAGAATACAGAACTAGGATTCAAAAGTCTGCATCTCTCCTTAGGAAGGTGGTTCAAAATTCTCCTGCTCACCTTTTGAGAAGGTACTTTCTGTATTTCTGCATTCTCTTTTCCTGTTTCATTTTATTCCCATGTCGCTTAATTTAACCAGAAGAAACTTCATAATGGAAAAGGTGGAGGTTTTCCATTTCTTAGATGAATTATGGAGATAGATGGTCTGTGTCTCCTTCAAGACATGTACTGATTTTTGGTATTGCAGAAATATAACTGCTGAAGTGTAAAACCAGTGCTAAGAATTATTTAAAACTTTGCTCACTCTGAAAAATGGCATATTCTTTTGAATAATTACTTCATGTAAATCACAGAATAAGAACTGAAAGACGAAAGGCAGAATTTTTTGTCTTCAAGGAATATCTTCAAAGAAATAACAAAGTATTTAAGGTTATTAAAACTTCGAAAACCATAAACAGCAAAATAAATGTTTAACTTCAGAATTACAGTTTTCCAAAACTGCAGTTTTCTGTTGCTGCCCTATAAATTCATGGGTTCCTTCCAGTGATTTATTCACAACTATTAGAACTGTTTCCATTCAAATGAGTATGATTCTATCATGGTTTCACAGAACTTGTACTAACTTATTAAGACCAAAGCTGTTTACATTTCACAGTTCTGAGAGTGTAAAACTTTACTGTGACATTAAACAAAATTCATAATCTTTGTTGTCTGATGCAAATACTAAAAATGGAGCGTAAGCAGATGTAAAATACTATCTGGATGAACAGTTATAGGAGGTTTTCCGTTTGTGTTTTTTGTGGGCTTTGGGGGTTTTATTTTCCTTTCTTGCTGTTGAAATCTGATCTCAGTATTGCTGGGCCAAAAAAGGTATCTGCACAGATTTTGTTTACACATGAAGGAGATCAGCTAAGAAACTCTCTTCTGCCAGAACAGGTACATATTTGTAACTAAGGAAGAGTATACTTTTCAATATGGAGTTTGTGCTAAGAGTTCAAAGCATCTCCTGTCATTATCAGATCGGAGAGGTAGTGGTAGATACCCTAAATAGCTGTGAATAATAGGTACAGGAATTCCAAGAGAGACCAGAAGAGAAGGGTGTGGAGAAGGAGATACCCTTGAAACATTGGTGTTATGGGAACTTCCGCTGTTCTGGTTTTACAGATGTAAGTGACATTAACTATTTTCAGTGAAGACACAGTAAAAATATTGATTGCATGCAAATTCTTCCATACTAGATTATTTGTGCAGGTGCAGTTTAGGCGCAGACCAGGGTGTTTTGTCCTTAGCTTCTCTGTTGTTAAGGAGATACTACGTGCTTTGTTACATCTACTGTGTCTTCTAATCTTATGTATGTGAATTATTAAAGAGATCTTAATGGGCAGGTAAGCTCCAAACAACATGCTAACACATTTGTGTAGTAGTAATTGTGAGTATGAGAATGTGTTGGATATATTTACATAAGTTCGGCAACAACTTATAAATATATAAGCAATGTTAATATCTTAATGACTTCAAACATCACATTAATAAGGTAAAATACAATGTAATGTAGTATTTCAATCATGTCTGTTAGTGCAAGACCTCCAGGTTTAGTATCTTTCAGAAATAATTTAGGATCATTCTTCCAAACATTTCTACTCACGCTTTACATACTGTATAATGTTACTGGTCTCTTTCATGGTTTTGCTGCTGCTGCTTGGCAGGTGTAGCGCTATTCTTCTTTTCATACTCCAAACTGTATTTATGTAATATTAACATCTGTCTTGTCTCCACATTTCTCTTTTCCATGCACACTTGCACTTCAGATTCCAGGTAACCTTTACATCTCAATCCAGTGCTGAACATGCATTTGTCCAGTGTTGTGCCTGGTCATTAAGCACTGCTGGAAAATGTATGATATTGAACATGGAGATACACTCAGTCACTTTAACGAAAGTGATCTGCAGCAATGCTATTGGCAAGCTATACCTTTGGACCAGAGCTGAATCCAAGTAGTTAATATATCTAGGTCTTCAGCATAATTAGTATTAAGCTGAATTTTATTTCCATTGGCTCATACCTTTTCCAATGCCTGATAACTCCGAGTAATGAAAAATCTTTTTTGTTGCCCCAGCTGTGTTACTCTGGCCTGGGAAAAGAAATGGTTCCCAAACTAAAAAAATGCTGTTTTGAAAATCACAGAAGTTTCTCAAGAAGATGCCACCTTAAACTTCATTGGTCTTAAAAATGGCGAATCTTTAAATTCTGAGAATCTTAGGAGCTGGGATTGTTGGTTTGTTTTTTTTTCTCTGCCAGAAACTTACAGTCCTCCATTTGGTCCAATAGAACTCCTATTCTAAGGCCTCCAATAGTAAACATAATACTAAGAAAATATAACACTGCTTGTTTCTAGTCTTGCGCTCCTCATTCGTCAAGACTAGAGCACACCATAAACATGATTTTGATGACTAATATCTTCTGTAATATTGTATACTTAGGAAAAGTGATATTTCAACCAGTATGTATCATTAAATGCAGTAGTTGCTACAGGCTTGAAATAATTAAAGTTTGGAGGTTGGAAAATGAATAGTGACTGGTGTGAATAAAAAGTTACTAATTTTTGTTACTGGAAAGCTGCTTACATTATTGACTGTATAATGACTTTGTTGTGAACAAATATGGTAACCTAAAACCATGGGGTTTGTACCTGAACAGCAGTTTTTAAAAATTAATATTTCAGAAATTGAAGATTTCTGTTGTGAATACTCTTGCATTTGTTTAACCATTACATCTGACATTTTTATTTGCCTTTTTCAGGAAAAACTAGGAGTAATTACCCAAAAAAGTGTGTTGTCTGGTTATTTATCTTCATTACAAATACCTAAATAAATGCAGTTGACATTTTTTCACTCTTGTTACTACAAAAAATACAGCTGGCTTCTTTATAGCAATGTCCAAATGTTCTTGTCAAGCTTTGAGACACACAGTGCTCAGGAGTTAACTGGTGGAGAGAGCGGAGGTGGACACTGCTTTATACTGGTATCATTAAATCATTTTGCTGACATTTAGAATATGCTATAGAGGGGGGTTGTTATGATTTTCCTGTTCCTGAGATTTATTCCCCCACCCCCGATAAGTATGGAGTGTTTTTTGTCACTGCTCTGCTGATAAATATTCTGAACAGGTTTTTATTTCTTTCTTTCTTATATTAGGTGTGGTCCTAATATCCCTTGCCCTCTGCGCAGATGCAGTTATAGGAAACGTACAGGAAAAAGCTATGAAGTTGCACAATGGTTCTAATTCAGAAATGGTAAATACCAGATTTACAGTTTTAAAATAACGTATCATAGACAAGGCATACAATGACAGAACATGAAATTTAATCTTCTTTTCTCTTGCTTATGTAAAGGAGAACTATTGGTGTACTGTTCTTGAAATTTTCTCTTTAGCTGGGGCTTTTGCTGGTATTTTGTTTGGGTTTTAAGGTTTCAAGGGTGCTGCTTTCTATGTGCAACCTCAAATGTATGTATATTGCAGCTACAGAAACACTAATTTCTAGCAGTAATTTCTGTGTCTACTCTGCAGGCCTGAAATCGACAGAGTGTTTTCTAAATGATCATGTACATCTCTGAAAAATACATACTGCTTTTCTGATATAGGTGTGCATGTGTTACATGGAACACATTTCTTTTCTTACCTGCTACACTTCTGCTTATAGTGTGCTAATATTTGAGAGGCAGCCTTTTTTGAAGCTTTTGAAACCCATAAAGCTGACTTTCAGAATAAGTGAATATGTGTGTTCCTGATTCAGTGAAATACATAATTCTGTAAAAAGTATTTTGCTCAGTATTTTTGATAATACTTACTTGGAATGTTGATTATCTGTACGTGAGGTTTGCTTTGTTTGGTTTTTTTTTTCAAATAAAACATGTTTGAACTTGGCATCTTTTTCTCTAAAGTCAAATCAATACAAGAAAATCTTTTATTATAACAGACATTATTTAAATATGCCAAAGTAAAAAAAAATTGAAATTTAATTTACACATTTGGCAGGTATTTTACATTTAACTGGGAAACCAGTTTCTCATTTGTGAGGATAACTTCATACATGGAATTAAAAATTGATTAGAAGAAAGCTTCATTTACGGCTGAAAGTGATCTAGGTTGGCTCAAGCAGTTTAAGCTGAAAGTTTCTCGAAGGGGAAGAATATACCAGAGAAGTGTCACTGTGTTCTTGTTTTTATTTTTGTACTTTTCTCTAGTATTCACTGTTGCCTGCTGCTGGAGGCAGATTTTAGCTACATGGACCTGACCTGACCTAGTGCAGGCTTCTTCTGTAGCTGTACTCTCTGAAATCCAAAGCAAAATACAATTTGTAACTGTTTGCTTGCCCACTTTGTACCTTGGCCAGCAGTCATCTGACAGTTATTAACTGCCTTACCTACAATGCTCCTGTTACTTTCAGAACCTTGCTTCTTATTCTGTGATAGTCTGCAAGTTTTGCTCTTCATATTGTATGCTCATACTTTTTGTAGAGAATCATTGTAGTGATTAATGATAAAAAGATTTTAGTTTTCGAGGGCCTAGAGATTACACTCCAGGATATTGTTTGGAGAAATCAGTGCAGGAGTACAAGCAGAATTTCAGAAGTTATTTTTCCAGGCTTGATACTGTAGGTAAAAATTTAAGAGCTTTTCTGCATCAGAGATCACATTTAATGGACAGTTATCTGGAAATAAAACTGAATAGCAAAGGAATGTGTCATCCACAGGATCTGTTTTGTTGCTGAATTTGGAGCTTGCCCTGGATTAAGCAATGATGAAAAGAGAAACCACTGCTCTGGAAGGTTACACCTGATTTTGCCTTGTGTGTTATTCAGATGAAGTGACCTATATCACACTGCCTAACAAAGAACTAGCAATGTGGTACTCATTCCTGCTTGTGAAAGTGAGGTTGTTGGGTCGTTTGGGAGAAAAGATGGATGTAGAGGCAAGTTAAGAACTAGAGGCTAATTTTTGTGCATATAAGCAGTGTAAAATAAGAGCTCCGAAGATCACGTCATGAGTTTCAAAACAGTTCTGGTTTTAAAATGTATATTTATCCTCCTTTATTGTAGAGCAGTGGTAAATCTTTTGTTATCTCATGGCATTGTAATCAATTGTTAATAGATTTATTTTTGCAAATAGTTGAGATAATATAACAAAAAAGCAGTTGATGAAACTTGTGTTGAAAGAAGGCCTGTAATTGACACTGAGTTTTGAAAGTGTAGTCAGCCTGTTCTAACTAGTAATGTGTAGAAGAGTTCTGTTCACTGTATCCCTTTTTCACAAGGAAAAGCCCAACAGCTGAATGCCTCACACTGCATAGATTGGCAGTTTCAGCTTCTGTTGTTGCTTCTACATGGGAAAGGATGGGGTGAAGGTTCTTTCGTTGCTGTATGAAGCTAAGAATTAAAGAAGGGTACAGACAAAACTAAGTTTACCTGTTTGTTGAGTCTAGGCTGTTTTAAGTACTGAGCTAGGTCAGAGCTGATTGAAAACCTTGAATCCTATAACCGTAACTCGGGTGCATCATGTATATGAACTGAAGTGACACAGATGAAACTTATGTGACACTTCTGGAAGTTGTGGTGATTATGTGCTACCCTTACATTTAATGTAACATGGATCTTTACTGTGTAGGGTAAGTAACAGAAAACAAAGTACATTTAAGATGTTATTTGAACTATTAAATTACATAGTTGTGTGAAGTTTTATTTAGGCTGTGAAATCCTGTATTTGAAGGATTTACCACAGTCAACTTTTACCTCAGGATATTATTAAATGAGTAGCCTACAAAACCTTTTTTTTTAATGTAGTTGTGGGTAGGAAGAATATCTCTAGCACTTATTACTCCCTTTTCACTGTAAATCAGCTGTTATAGAAATCCTAGTAAAAATATCTTCAAACATTGCAAATTTAACTCTCAGAAGTTGAATGTATTAATAGGACCAAGCATTTGAAAGAATTTTGTCCTTTTATATAGTATCACCTGGTAATTATTTTCTCTTAAACTATTCTAGGTTTTGTATTCCTATTCAATAGGTTTTGTGTATATTTTATTTGGATTAATATGCACTAGTGGATTAAGCCCTGCAGTAACATTTTGCTCAAAGGTAGGTGTAAAGATTTACTTTTTTCTATGAAGAACCTCATTGGAAAACATTGCTCTGTATGGTTTAGAAAATCTCACCACTTATCTAAAGTCTTTTCATCATGTAAACTGGTTAACTTGTATAATTCATACATTAAGAAGGTTGTTACAGTCTTTGATGTGTAAGATAGGGTAATGTTTTAAAAAACAAAACAATCACAGGACCACACTGATGAGCTTATAATTTCATTATTATTTTTCCATTATTTAACTAAAATTAAATAAGGATCTTTGCATGAATGCATTGTTGAATAGCTTATTATTGCTCAAGCAATTGATTAAATTTTGTAGTTTTATGCCATTTTGCAATACCTCAGGGTTTGTTTTACATTTTCCTAACAGGATTTTTTTTGTTGTTGTTGCAGCATCCAGTTCAGACTTACGGTTATGCATTCCTTTTCTCCCTGACTGGGTATTTTGGCATATCCTTTGTTCTAGCTCTGATTAAAATCTTTGGTGCCCTTCTGGCTGTAACAGGTATGAACAAATTATATCTTTACTGCTTTTGATGTAAAAACGTAAAGTAATTCCATTATTTAGGAAGGACCTTTTGAGAATTGTTCTTACTCTGCATTTTTTTTCTGTTCTTTATGCTGACTGTGATTTGTGTAGCATTGATCTTTACTAATATACATGTCTGAGAGCTTCCTGTTTTCTTCTGCTCCATAGTTTCAGTACTGAAGAAGCTGCTAAGTAATCTTGCACATGTAGCCTGTGCTATGTTTTAGTGAAGAAACAACACTGTTCTAAAAAGGGAAATTGCAATGGAAATGTGTAGTATAGTCAAGTGACTGAAGTGTCTACATATCAGAATATCCCCAGCTGCAGGAAAAAGGGGAAATGACCTTGCTGTTCATTTTAACAGCAGTTCATTGCACTATTAACATTTTTTATGTATCTAACAACACTAAAGGAAAAGTCTGACACATTTTTCATCATCTTCATGTACACCTGTTTTCAGGCTGTCCCTGAAATTATTATTCAGCACTATATACAAGCTGATAAATTAGTGATTTAGCTTCTTCTATCATCTCTATAGTTGCTGCAGTAGTCTGTCAAGAATGGTTACAGTGGGCTCATTCCTTCTTCAGGTTACCTTTCCTTTAAACTACAAACATTACTCACAAGGGCCTGCAGGGGAAGTTGTAGCAAGATGCCATGGAGATACTTTCCTCTTCTCCCCCTAAAAGCTGGTTTCTGTCAAGTGATATTCAGCCTTCATCTGTGGGCGTGGAGAGGAAAATACAGACAGGGTTTTCTCTGACCTGAGGATTGCATGCTCTGCTTTCCCATTAATTATTTGTTCTGCAGCACTTCTGTTTTATGTGTGTTTTTAACAAAGTTCAGTAGGTCTTCTGACTGGAAATTGGCCCAGATGAGAGTGTTGGTTCATGTGTTAAAATAGCTTTTGTAAAAAATAAAAAAATCTTATTGTGCTAAAACATGTCTAAAAAATACTGTGGCGTAACAAACCCTTTCCAGGTTTTCCTATGCCTGACCTTGATAATTCTAATGCTTGAGCCCTTTCTGTCTTGCCTGTAGCAATGTGAAAATGTTTATTGTGCCTTGGAAGAGCACCACATTCATTATTGTCCCTCCCACCCCCACCTACCCTCCCCTTCTTTTGGGGGGAGCGGGGTGAAAGAGTTTAATGAAAATTATATTTCTATTAGCAGAATGAGAAATTATCAGACTTAATTGAGAAAAAGAAGAAAAGGCACTTAATTTAGAAGGAAATGGTTACATAAATATTTTAATTAATAACTGATTTGAAAGAACAGAAATAATTGTAATTAGAAAAACTGAAGTAATTTAACGATTTTTTTAAATTATTCATCTGTAAACTGTTTTCTAATTAAAACTCAATTTTCTTTTTCATTCTCCTTTAATTTTTTATGTAATAGAAAATCATTTTATTTGATGCACATAAATTTCTTTGCATTTAAAGAAAATTGCTGCTTAGAAGTTGAGACAGGGGCAGATAAAGCAATGGTGAAGGCTGTTTCTTCTACTACAAAACATGCTTTTAAGTAAATATTTGTTTGTGGGGGCAGGTTGGAGAGAATGAAACTTGCTTTTTTAGCCAAAACAGTGAGAAATTACATCAGGAGTCACTGATTCGTTTTGTCTCAGTATGTTACAGTAAGACTAATGTGAGACTAATATGAATGCAGTTGTACAAGTAAGGCTTTCCAGTATTGTGCAGCAAAATGTACTTGATGGTAATCAAAGTACTTCACATTAATAAAAAGACATATTTTTATTTAAGTGCAGGCAATTGTCCCCATTTGTTTGTTTTAACCAAGTAAGAAGCCTGCACTATCATATAGAATAGCCTCTTCTCATTCCCTTAACCATAGCTGAATTTGTATGCCTGGCTGCACTGTCACGTTTTTTCAAACATTTTCAATAACTTTTACTCATTTATTGGTTTTGTTTCAGTGGTGAAGTCGGTAGGCTTCCCAGTACGTAATTTGCTGTATTGTTCACAGCAGATAGCAGTGAAATTGTTCAGGTCATTGTTGGAGCTACAGTTAATTTAAGAGTATCCCGAGCAGATAGTTTACTTCCATTTTTAGTAACAGGGTTGTGTTCTCAACTCTCCTTACTCCCTTAATTCTTTCTAGTGATGACATGTAGAAGAAGGTTTCTTAATGGTTTTGATGAAAACTTCCCAATGAAACCTCTGAAGTCAGACATCGTTGGGTTTCTTGGGTTTCTAACCAAAATTGTATTTCTCTGTACTGCTGGTAAATTTTCAGTAGCTTCAAAAGAATGCCAAGGTGATGACCCCATTCCACTTAAAAATAAAGCCCCAAACACCACTGAGCTGTAATAGTGTGAGGTGGAAATGGCAAGAGATTTGGTGTATCCATATAGTGATACCAGTTTTTTCTTGTCTAACAGATTAATTTATACCTTTAGTTACTTGAAAGGGTTGTTTGTTGCTTTCAGATATTGTGAATTGATTAGCCTGAAGTTATTAAATAGCAAGTCTTCTGGAAATTTCTCTGCTGCAGATACTGTGACTGGCACTGATGCTACTGATGCGGTGTACTTGTTTCAAAGAGCATACGGTTTTAGCACTGTTTTGTACTGGACTAGTGCATCTGCAGTCCGTGTTTGCACCAAGGATGATCATTGTTTTAGCTAGACAAGTAATGGCTTTATCTAGTAATATTGAAGCCTATATTATGTTCTTTTGCTGTAACTGAATGCTTAAAGAAGTAAATATTTGTTTTCCTCTGCAGTAACAACAGGAAGAAAAGCAATGACCATTGTGCTTTCTTTCTTGTTCTTTGCAAAGCCGTTCACATTACAGTAAGTATTTATAGTTTTGAATGGGGTTTTATGTGTGTTATAAAAAAATCATGGTCTTGATCATGGAAATATAACAACAGTAATTAATCATATTCAGGCTTTAGCGCTTTTCATTTCTTATCTTCTACAAATGTTGGCATTCTGCTGTAAATATTGACTGGCTTGTTGATGCTAATCATGCTAGAGAAAATAGTTTCCATTTTTCAAAATGTCTGGAAGACAAGCTAGTACATGTGTTGGCATTTTTGGGGTTGGTTTTGTTTCTTTTTTTTGTTGTTGTTGTTTATCTAGTGCTTATGATACTTAATAAATTGGGTACTTTCTCTATGAAAGAAGATTCGGCTAAAGAAAGGCATTTTCTCCATGATGGTATTATTTCCCCTTTTACGAGCTCAGGTGCGAGTTCTTAACTGGCCTTTTTAAACAACTGCAAGCTTCTGTTATCTTGAGATATTAAATTGCAAGATTTTTGAGCTTGGGTTTCTTCCCTTTTTTTTAATTTCAAGGAAGGGCTTACATTGAAAAATGCAGCTAAGTTGATACATTGCTCCTAATTACTTTTGGTTTGAAGCTAAATAGTACTCAGTACTATTGCTATGCATAATTTTTTTGAGGTTTGACAACAAAGCTTACAGCCAAATGCCCAAGTGCGGTTTACTCCAGCTAACAATCTTGAAGCTTAAAATAATGGAAAGCTGAAACAAAAATGCACTTACGTTGGAAAGTATGGCTGTAAGGCACAGAGTGAGAACACAATATTGGGCCAGTTACAGAGAGTATAGCTCTCATAACCGTAGGAAGAAAAAATGTACTAAAACCCCTCAGGATTCCTTTATTCATGTGAGAAAGAGCAGTTACTGTTTAGTTGTTATTTAACTATAAATGCACCTTAATAAGCTCTACAGCCAGAACAGGAAAAGGAAGGGTGGAAGGATAGTAATAATAAAGATGTAAGCAAATCTTTCTCACAGCCCACTAATTTGTGGTTGGTTTTTTTTTCCTTGAAAAAACTTCTTAATGTGGGGCCTTTATTTTTATTCCATCCACAAATATTGGTATATAAGTGTTACAGATAAAGTACTAATGTACTAACAGTAACTTTTTTCTCTTCTTCCCCCTTCCTTTTAGATATGTGTGGTCAGGCTTACTGGTTGTCCTTGGTATATTTCTGAATGTTTACAGTAAGAATATGGATAAAATCAAACTGCCTTTACTGCATGGTCTCTGGAAAAAAAATGTGGAAGAAAGAAAAACAAGGACGTTGTCACAAACTGTATAGACAGTGGTTTATGCCTTGTCTAGACTGTGACTTACTATTATTTTATTGGAACAGTCTTCAACTGATTCACTTTCCAAAGGGAACATTATTAAAACCAAAGGAGCTGAAGGCATATTGTCTGCTTGCAGATTGCTAGAAGTGCACACTTTTGTGAGCCCTTTCTTCAGAGCACTTGAATTCATTGGTAAAGGTGTCGTAGGCCATTGTCAGATGGCACTGTCAGGCAATGAAGGACAACAGCTCCTGGCAAACGGTTGAGAAGCTGCACTCCAAGTGGGACACATGAGAAGAGTATTTTGGGCATTTTAATAATGCTGGCCATGTGGCTGATCTGAGATTAGTGGTTCTTTGTTAATTGTCTGTGCGGGATAATTTAAATGTAATACTGTATTAACATTTAATGGAACCTTAATCAGCAACTGGTTGACCAAATTGTGATTTTAAAGGTGGCAGGTTTACAATATGGTATGTTGTCACTCTTTCATTTTAAATAAAAATGTTGGGTTTTTTTTAAGTTACTGATTCGATCACCACAGAACCTTGTATTTATTGTAATAATCGATTTTTCATTGGAATATTACGGTGTTACACTTTGTTTTTTGCTTGCAAGTAGCAAAAATGAGATTGAGGTTGTGCAGTCAACACTTATGGTTTTACAAGTGGTGAATGGGCTTTTAGGTCTGAACAGGGTTAGAACACAGAATGAAAAAGCCGAGATTGAAACAATGGTGTAAAAAGCTGTTATTTGCTTATTCTGTGGTGAAATACAAAAATTTTAGTGACCTGTGGCCCTACATATCATGGTGGTATAGAGAGAGGTGGAAGTCCTTTAACTTAGTATAATCAAATCAAAAGTCTTCATTTGCAATATTGGAGTAAAGAATAGCAACATCTGCTAAGGTATTTGGAATATGTATTGTGTCAGTCTTAGAGTGGTCCTGCGATGAACTTAAGAGGATTAGGTTACAGATTACAATTTTCTTTATTTAATGACAGGAGGAGACAGTGTAATACCAGTCTGTCTTTTTCATCATGAATTTAAGAAATTAATTTAAGACTAAGTCCATTTATCTCTCTTACTTTCATATTCAGCTTACTTTGAATTGCTTGCCATCTCTTTGATTTTATGTATTTAACAATGGCACTTTAAAAATACTGATCACCTTACAGTTAATTGTTCTCATATTGTCATGACTTTTTTGTTGTTGTGTCTCTTAGATGCATCTCGGTGTGTGTTCTTTTAACTTAGACAAAAGTAAATTGGATAATAATAGAATTATGCAGTCAGGAAGAATGTACAAAGAATTGAAATATCTCACAGTCTTGCCTTCTGCCAAAAATATTGGTTTATGAAAGTATTCAAAATGTGCAAAAGTGTGCTTCAGACGCTTAGGAAGAATTGCTGTTCTAAGGAGTCTGTGAACAAAGCACACACACAAAATGTGCCTTAAATTTTGCTTATTGTCTTGGTAGCTAGTTTATGGCATATTAAATATGTTATAAAATAGAACATGGAATAGTATAGCCACTCTAGCACAATGGGACAAATGAGTGGAGAGCTGTATTAGCCTAACTGCACTGTTTCTAACACTTGAGTGTGTCAACAAGGCCTTTTGCCCCATACACACACAGTATTTCCAAGTTGGGAGAATTTATTGCATGTAGCGTTTTCATTTTTTTAATTCCCAGCTACTGCAGGATTGATTCTGTCCTGGATTAGGTAGAGAGGTGGGAGTGTGACCAACAAATACATCTTGAAAGAGAAGAATGGCCTGCTGTCGTTATTCATTTCCATGTGGCAGTGTTTTTATCATAAGAAAAAGGGTTACAATGCAAGAGTGCATTTGGCCAAGTCAGGGGGATTGATAGACATTTCTTTCCTCGTAATACTTACCAACTTTCATATTCTCTTGCATTCTTTTCACTAAATGAAGTTGCTCTTTCCAATGAGTTCAAGTTACCTATCAAGCTAAAAGAGGGACAGATTTTGAACCACTGGAAAGAGAGTAGGTATGGAACATTTCTGTCTGTTCATTAGTTTGGTGGAACTTGCCAATTAGCATTTGAGCGTTGTTTTGAGGATTTTTCAGTCTCAGCTTTGCCATCTGTAAACTCTGTTGCTAAACTTTATTGAACTTAAGGAAATCAAATTATGTGAAAGCTTCCATACATGCAGAAAGTCATAGTAAATATAGTTCATTTGGCATCTGTTTTATATAACTAGATGAGAAGTCACTGACAAAGTTTGACTAGAATTCAGATGTGGCATGTAGGTTGCTGAACTGTTCATATAATCCAGTTTTTCCTCTGTTCTCTCACTTTGGAGAGCATAGTGTTCACAATAATTTACTTTTTAATTTATTCTCTGTTGTGTACGTTTGGGTTAATGGAGTACACCTTAGGGGAAATTCAGATTTATTCTTTTTTTAATTAATTTTCTTAACTATAGAAATGTCTGTTTTGTTTTACAGGTTTACTTTTAAAAGTTATTTTTATACACAAATGAATATTGGCAGTTTAGTGTTAATAGCATAAATTTTTGAGTCAGATTGTTATTTTTATAGGTGTGAGTCTGGTACTAGCTAATCAACAGTATGCAAGTGTGTTAAAAAAAAATATACACACAAGTAAGAGTAGTTCATCACTTGTCACCTCATGGTCTTCGGTTTCAAGCTTTCACCAAGATGTTAAGAAAACCTAAATTTCAGTGAGTTGCTCTTTATGCGGGAGGTGATTGGTTGGTTGGTTTTTTTTGGGTTTTTTTTTTGCTTTTTTTACTTTTTTTTTTTTTAATGAGTTTCACAGTGCACGCGAGTAAGAGAACCTTACAAAAACCTCCAAGTGTTATTACAATGTTTTGGTTTAGGATCTTCTGTGCTGTATATGTATGTTGGGTGTGTGTTGTCTGTGAAATACAAATAAGGGCTTGTCCACAAATCAACTGTAAATTCCTTATTTTTCATATAAGAGCACTTATATTGAGGTGTTGGTTAATCCTTCCTAATGTTGCGACGTAGCCTGATCTTAATAATGTTTGTATTTTGTACTCACAGGCTCCTGGACACTTTACAGTAGGCATTATGAAGCTACAGAGAAAAAAAAACACTTGTTCTGTCACCATAAGATTTATTACCTAACTATAATGTGAATTAGTTGCTGTTTATTCTTATGCTACACAACTTTCTTCTCTCTACAGAAAACTGTGATACAGGAATTAGTTAGTCCTGAATTGAAGTTCACACTAAAATTTAAGGCTGCCCAGGGTCTCCACTGATGTCAGCAGTCTGCCTCTGTGACACCCACTAGTTCTGCCTCTTTTGGAGGACTGAGGGAACTCCATTTTCCTAAATTAGTATGCATTTGTAGTTGCTTTCATATTACATTTTTGCATTTATTTGGCATGCTTGAACACCAAAGTAATTGACTGCGCAGTGAATTTCTCCAGTATTTCAGTACGTTAATATCATCAAACTGTTAATTATTCAGCTATCTATATGTGAATACAAGTATGGAAGAGCTAATGCTGTGAATGTCCCCACTCTCCCCAAAACTACAGTGTTTCTGATACTGCATTAAACTGTTTTTCTTAATCTTATCACTTATTTGCACTTGCCAGCATTTTGAGCTAAGACTCAGGCATATATCATTCCTACTCATCTTCCTTGTCATTCCTAATTTTGGATGCAAACATTCCTACTCGTCGTCCTTACTTGTCATTCCTAAATTTGGATGCAAAATCCCTTTTTAACATGTTCTCTCAATGCGCTATGCATTGTTTAAAGTTTTTATTCCTGCATTTAAGGGCTCACATGAAACTAGTAGATACTAGTAGAGATTGGACACATTCTGTATTTTCTGTTTCATATCAGTTATGACTGTCTGTTATTGCAACTGCTCTTTTTTGTTTAATAAGTGCCTTCCTTACTAACCTGGTTTGTCTTAATAGTTTCTTTCTGCCTCCCATGCTCCCAGCACAAACAAGTCCTTCTTTCATGTTTGACCGCTGCTCGTTCGGTCATGGAAACTTTTTGAGTTGTTTGCTGTTCTGAAAAGACGTATAGAAATGCATGTATACTCTGGAGGGCAGGAAATAATAAGTAAACTTCACAAGTTAGGGAAGTAATTAAATGGATTCATTGTTTTCTGGAGGGTTTATATATATATGGTTTAGGTAATAGTTCTGAATCTGTTAGTAGAAGGGGTTTTATTCTCCATTACATTTTACCTGTTTAAAATCTTCATATCAATTTTAATATTTAATATAAAACTCCTGACTACTCAGGCAGTTTATAGAGATTAATTTTAGTCTTGCCTATGAGGCACAAAAATCCTATCTCCATTTCACTGATGAAGTGGAGATGGTAACTTGCCCAAAGTTGCCTTAGTAAAAGGAGCAGATGTTAATATCCTCAGTTACTCTATGCCCCAAGTCCAGCAGAGCCCTTCTGTACCTGAAATGAAACCGTACCGATGTAAGCTAAGTTTTCTTTTACCCCAGTGTTAGAGCTTTTTAATTTACTTCTGTGTTCTGTGCTAGTATAATTTAAAGTAAGATAATCATGAAGTAGGCTTCCTGCATTTTATCTGAAATTTATCTGCATTGTGTGCATCGTTACAGTCTTGCTGATTTTCTGTTCTTGCTTTGCTATTGAAGCAAGCTGGGAACAGTAGCAGTCATAGGAGAAGCATAATATCCTTCACTTTCAGGTGGCTGGTCTGAATTTAGTTCACCTTGCTACTGGTCAAAAGCTGTTGCCATTGGAAAAATGTGAGCAATTGTCACAATGTGAGGAGCTGAGCATAATGTTGTCATGCTGGATCTGTATCTTTTTGTCAATCACTTGTAGAGAAGCAAAGACGGTAACACAATAAAGAACATTCATGCACAAATACTCAGCTTAGAATATAATGCTGATTTAATGCTTCTTTTCTATACCTGGACTGGTTTCTGCTGTTGTGCTGTTTTTCCTTGAGGTGTGATAGTACTGTATTGCTTCTCTACGCTTTTGGATATTTAATTTTTTTTTTTCTTTGTTAAATTTCTCATTTTTTTCTTCCTCTTCCTTATTTTAAGTGTAAAGTTCTACCTTGTAATTGTTACTACACCTGTAGTACTGTGTCCAGTTCCTGGCTCCTCAGGGCAAGAGAGAGATGGGGCTACAGAAGGCCAGCAAAGAGATGTCAAGATGACAAAGGGACTGGAGCATCTGCTGTGAAGACTGGGAGAGCTGGGACTGTTCAACCTGGAGAAGGCTCAAGGGGGATCTCATCAATGTATTTAAATACCTTAATGGAGAGTGCAAAGAGGATGGGGCCAGGGCCTTTTCAGTGGTGCCCAGTGACATGAGCAGAGGCAGTGGCACAAATGGAAACACAGGAGGTTCCCTCTGAACAGCAGGAAATACTACTTTACTGTGAGTGACAGGTTGCCTAGGGAGGTGGTGGAGTCTTCATCCATGAAGGTACTCAAAAGCCTCTGGACATCGTCCTGGACAACCAGCTGCTGGTGGTCCTGCTTGGGCAGGGGCAGTTGAACCAGATGACCTCCAGAGGTCCCTGCCAACCTCAGCCGTTCTGTGTTCCTAAATCTTGTGGGGCTTTTTTCTTTCTGTTTCCAAAGTGTTAATAAACCTTTGAAACACATCTCTGTGTTGGCTACAGTACCTCTACTGAAGCTGAAGAAGCCATCCTGACAACACCCCATAGCGTGATTCTTGCTGAATAGTGAGTGTCTTCAGAGCACAATCCCCTTCAGAGAGACACCTTCATTTGGTGACTGCTGCTCAGTGCAAAGAGTACGTGAACCTCTTAGAGCCAATGCAAGAAACTGGTAGATGACATTGGTGCTGTCAGCACAGAACTATTTGAATGTATTCATGAAGGAGTTCAAAGTTGCTTTTGGTTTTCTGTGTTTATGTCTTGCAATGGTATTGGGTGTTTTAGTGCGTCTGATCTGCAGAGGGCTGTTAGAAATGTTGCTAAACCATTTGGTTTCTGTTAGTTACCAGCATTTTGCATTAACATGGTGTGATAGATGCCTTACTACTATCTCAAAACCCAGGTATAAATTCCACTTAATACAGTTCTGTAGTATCAGGCATTTACACGAGCATATCTATGCAAAAGTATCTGTTAAACAGCAGTCCGAGTTCCATATAAAACTGAAGAAAAGTTCCTGT